GCGCTTTTCAATTGAAAACAGACATCATCTTTAGGGAGATTTGTCATCTTTAAAGACTTCTGCACGCCATTTCTCGACCCGCTCTTTCATTTGAGCCCAAAAAAACATTCATATCTTGTCTGACATCTCTGCTACAAATTCTGGTCATCAACTCTGGTTTTCAGTTGAAATTGGAATTTTTAATTTCCACAATAATAGGAGTGCATTGACGATTTTTTCTTAACTCGCAAAAATCTTCAAACAATTTACTACCAATTGGTAATAAAATTTTTTGGAAATAATTAAATAGGGGGGATAACGCCTTTTTTTCAGGGGTGATTTTTCAAAAATTTATTCTAAAAAGAGGACTAACTATCAAATGTTTTTTATTAGCTCGCAATTTCCTTCAAAACTACTTCAATGAGGAAAAAAATAAAAATTTGGAATATCTATACATGAGGGGCTAATTGATCGGATCTTTTCCTAAGGATACCTTCAATACCGAGCCCTGTGTAACCACCTTATCATTACTGTCCATCCGAGCATTTGTCCAGAAATTTTCATGTCCATTTTTGTTCCACCACGACTCGTACTGCCCCCATTTTCCCCAGAACGTGCCCAAAACGGTATTTGTCCATCTGAGATTGTTCAAACACCCCTCCCCCCCGTGTTCGTTATCGTTACCGACGAGGCGTGACACCAGATAAAACTTATCAAATCACGTCGTGAAATCATCAGTGTGTGTACACCAGCCTGACGGATTGTCAAATCGTACTCGTGTCATATTCACATATCCAGTAACCTCCAGTAACACTCAATCTACAAAATTCCCAACAATGGAGACATACGAGAGTGTTTTGCTCGTGAAGTCTGAAGTATTCGTCTTTAAAATACCCCCGAGGCCCTCGAACAGAGGACACAGGTAAGTGAAAATACTGTATTTCATGTGACCCTTCACTCACGATCTATCGTATTTATTTTACCGTTATTGCACCTGCAGTTTCTCAATGACAGGAAACGATTTCCTTGACAGTCATGTGGCATTCTCCACTCAATAGACCCCAGCAATTCACTCCTAATGCTTTAGAAAAAATATTGTATTTCGAATTTATTTCAATGTTGATGTTATCACCACTCTAATCAACATGAACGATAATTTTAATGAAACAACTCGACTAGATGTAGTTGCTCCCGAAAGCGTGTAAAATATATATTTTTTATATTTTACCCCTTTTAAGTATACAATACGTCCAGCCGATCCAATTTATGTCCATTTTTTTGGATGAAACCTCTTCATCATGAGAATGGAAAGATATGCCTACGTCCCATGAACCGATTTTCTGGAAAGTCATGTGGCATTCTCCACTCAAACGAGTCCATTAATTCACTCCCCACAATTTAGACGAAAAACAGTATTTCCAATGTTGTCGTTATCACCTCTCTAATCACCAGTCGCGATAATTCCCATCACTCACAACTGTATCGTTCAGAGCTGCAGATTGGAACCTCCATGAGCCCTCGTGGACAGGAAGGATGCGGCTGGTATCTCAGGGTGACTCAATAACACTCAAATTGGAGGACAAAATATCAGGAGAACTCTTTGCAAAATGTCCCATAGACACATACCCAGGAATAGCTGTAGAACCAGTGACCGATTCGTCTCGTTACTTCGTCCTGAGGATTCAGGATGACAATGGCAGATCAGCGTTCATAGGGGTGGGCTTTCTGGACAGATCCGACAGTTTTGATCTTAATGTGGCGCTCCAGGACCACTTCAAGTGGCTGAAGAATCGCGACCAAATTGAGAAGGAGAAGGAACAGCCCAAGCAGGAATTGGATCTGCGATTCAAGGAGGGTGAGACCATAAAAATCAACATGAAGATCACGAAGAAGGACGGAAGCGAGGTGTCCTCTAAGAACAAACAGCGTCCCCAGGGGGGATTGGGCCTGCCACCTCCACCTGGAGGGGTCAAGATCGCCCCTCCACCACCCAAGACTCCAACGTCATCACCTGCTCACAAACCAGCGCAGAATCAGGGTGGCTCCGAGTGGGGGGAATTCGCCAGTGCATCTCAGGGACAACAGCCAGCAACTTCCCCTGGATCGACCAATGCCAGTTGGGTACAGTTTTAATTAGCCGATGATCTCTGCACGTTCTTATTCAATTCGATTGTCAAATCATGTTGTGAAACACGTTTACTTCGCACACAGAATCTAGGATTTGTTGATTATCTGATTTATCGAGAGGGGATTGGAATTTTGAGTTGAAGTGGTGAAACGTAACAGAACAGAACAGAATGTTAAATATGATTTTATCTCGATACCAAATGGTTTTAGGAGAAAATTGCATAGAGAAGTTTTTGTTGCAAATTTTTGCAGCTGCAATAGAGGTTTTGGGACATTTTTTCGTTGAGCACTTCGTTTTCGAGATGCAGAGCAATTACAGTAGAAGGAAATTTGAGTTGATGTTTTGTCACTTCACAATTGGAGGGATAAAATGGAATTGGGTACAGAATGGAATTGCATCCTCGAATTGTATATTGAGAATGTTTTCCACGTGTACGGAGGATGGATTAAAATTCTGTTGACAGTATTAGTTCTATGAAAGCACGAGTATTCACAGAACTCATCATATTTACCATAAAAACCCGTATTAGCTTCCTTCCGTCGTTAATACCGTGCGAGTATCAATTTCAGAGAAAAGGTCATGTGGTATACATGCCAGTTATGATAAATTGCGAAATGTTTGAAAGAAGGAGTTGAATGCCTGCTGTACCCATTCTGTTCTGTTATGTTTACAAACAATGACATGCATGTAGACTTTATTTTCGTTGCAGCAAAGAATCTTCACATGCATTTAGGGGCGAGTGGGGCAAAATGGACACTTGGGACTATTTTTCAATTGTTGATTGAATTTTCGATGAAATTGGACTATTTTTCGCTGTTGATCAATTGACTGTTGAACATTTATTGTTTTATTTAAAACACACATTGTTTCACTGAATTCGTAGAGAATTTCATTGTTGAAAATTGAAAATTTGATGGAAAAACGAATGGGAAATGTAAACTTGAGTTGATTATTCCATGAAAATTAATAGAAATCAGAGAAATTCAGGTGAATGTATTGAAAATTCAAGTAATGTAGGAAGTTCTTGCCTTGCGCCTGCTTAAAAATGAGGAATTTCACTGAATTCTCAATAAAATCTGAAATTTCACGATTTTTTCCCCTAAATGGAATTCAGTCCATGAAATTTCTATTTTTTTTAGCAGTGCAATTAACAGAACAATTGCGTTTTGCATCAACAAATAATGCCAACTGTTTAGACTTCCCAAGACCTCATTTAATGACTGAACTCAATTGACGAATTAGTTTCTGAATTGCGAACATTGAGACGAAAGTAAAGTCTCCATTTTGCCCCAGCCTCCGCTCCCTTGATAAAAATCCCCCAGAGCCTCGAAAGATCGTTTGACCACGCGAATATAGGGCCTCCTTGCCACTGGCATTTGTACATAAATGATTGATTAGACGATCGACGTCTTGCTTTAAATTATTAAAGCCTAACAATAACGAATTAACAAATCGATGACTATTCACAACTTAATGTCTAGCGCCTGTTGCTTCCCCCCCTTTAATCTCGCTTCACAGAGTCAATGATATTTTTTGAATGATTACAAAGTGGTATATATATTCATTCTTCGGTGAGCATGCTTGTTATTGATCTGCGTTAAATGCAAATCAACCATTTTACTTTGTAAATAATGTTGCCCTTTCCTTTCGACTCAATGTTATCTTAATGATGTTTGGATGGTAGAAATATTGAGGAGATATTTCCGAGTATGTGGATGAATATGGAGGTATCTGATTATCGTGATCATGCCTGGTTACACCGGATGCAGATGAATTAATTATGAAATTTAAAAGTTCAGTTCGTGGAGTACTAAAATCCATCGTTGAGACTGATGGATAGTCCCGTTGTTCCCCCGGATTCAATGCAATCCTCCCAATTATCCAAATGATTGACACAAGAATCAATAATGAAGAAAAATGATATTGTTATACAATAGAATCACGAGATCTAATTAGCAGTAGTTGTAAGGGAAATGATCGCTTGTCGATCGACGACGAATATTGTGGACAAAAAAAATCATATATCATTCCCATGTATATTTTTCTGGAAATAAAATGAAACAATCTGAATAGTCATATTTTTTTAAGTTCCATGGGTAGAATTGTGTTGAAGAGTTCGTGAAATCAGCTTCGAAATTAGGCTGACTATTGTAGAGATAAAATATTGAATAAAAAGTACATGAGAAATATCGTTACGTGTACCTGTTGTATTGGCCGAGCCAAATCATATGTAAATAGTTAATAAAACTCACTGTAAGATCGTTCAGCTGAGTAAACTCAAATTAAAGTACACAAGTTAAAAGGGGGAAAATGAGGCGGAATGATTTTTTTTACTTTTTAGGTTTTTTTTCGTAGTAAAAGAATTATTCAACACTGAAAAAGTCGGATATACTCATTCTGCCTCAATTTTTCCCTCTCAACCCCAAAATAATACCAAAAAGAAGGAAAGAAAATTATAAAAACGACAGATTGTTATCACATTCTATTGTACTGTATTCTTCTTCTGATCGTCAATATAATAATCAATAAATGGCATGAATTAGCACTCTCGCACAAATTAATACTCAATAGGGAGTCATGGCTGCTCGAAACTTATGGATCTATCACAATTCATCGGGTTCTTTGTATCTTTCATTTTTTATTTATCTGAAATCATGTTTTTTCGGATTATTATATCGTCAGATTCTAAAAGTCAACAACGTTTATGGCGTGGTACATTGAGCCGTAGGCCTCGCATTGTTAATGTGCGATTTAGTTGACGCTGTACAGGCCGTTGAAGTTGATCAGATGAGAGGGTCATGTTCTCGTCGTAGTCTATGGTGCTGAGGACGACCAGAAGAACCCCCAGCACCTAGAAAATTCGGGATAGCCCAATTAATTAAACAAATGACTTTTGTTCGTTAATAGATAACGCCAATTATTTAAACCTTATTGGCATTAAACCTATTTCTGGTGAAATTTCGAATGTGGAAATTTTTTTCACGATCAACAAAATAGAATTTTGATTGATTATGATTGATTTTTTATAGATTACCTATAAAACAATTCATAAATTGCAAAGATTCTATTAATCTTTTTCAAAATTACACGTTTTATTTATTTTTTAATTATGAAAATCTGTACTAACAGTTTGAAATAGCGAATTAAATTTATTTATGTTGATGATATCACTTCTAGTGCAGCTAGACATATTTTATGCCAAAGAAGTTTGAACTTTTGGATCCTTAGGGATATTTACTCCCTTCAGATATACAATACATCTAGTAGATATAATTAATTTAATTAATTCATTTATCATTCATTCATCATTTTTTTAAATTTTAATTGAATTCAATTTTTTTATCATTTAAAAAAAATTAGAGTTTATAAATTAACTACAGAATAATTTTTAAACTCCAATCATTCTATAAATTTTCTTCTGAAGTGCAATTTTCATTTCGTATATCTTCAAAATTTCTTCTATCGATTTCCGATCGCGAATTAATTTTAACGAAACTTTAAAACTTTTTGAAACTTTAAATAATAAATTGTTGCGAAATGTAAAAGAAGCTTTGAAGGAAGGCCAAAGCACTTTGACATCTTCAATTGAAAGAAGAAATATTTTTTTCTTACCAGACACACAATAATGAGCAATGTATAAACATGTATGCTAGCAGTGGGCAAAGAATCGACTTCCTTCAGAGCATCGGCAGCCTCTGCTAGATCCGGCTTCAACTCCAAGGCATGTCGGAGGTGAACAGCCGCCTCTTGAAAGTGGCCATAAGCCTGACCAGAATAAAAATAAATGAAAAAACTTGCAAAATGTTTCATCCAAACAGGTGAATTAATCATGGAAGGATTGATTAATAGACTAAATGAGTAACGTAGTATAGCCCTTTTACTTTGAATATCTGTCCCAGAGTGAGGTACTGCTCCCAGGCATTGCGATCCGGTGGCTGCAGTTCCAACGAACGTCTAGCTAAGTAAGTCGCGTCGTCGAGGTACTGCAGGACCATTAGAACCCTTGCAAGATTCAGTAGCACCTCGGCATTATGAGGCGATACAGCCAGTGCTCTCCTGAAACACTCGATCGAACGTTCAGCATTGCCCTTTATGCGCCAGAAATTGCCAATCTGGTTGTACAATTGTACGGACTTTGGTTTCTGCAAATAATCCATTCGGGTAATTTAAAATCAATTATCCACATGAATGATTATTTAACAATAATCGTCATTCACTCCTCATCGATTGATAACTATAAATGATGAATGCAATTTCCATTCTTTCCACTTTTCGAATGATCATTTTAACCATTTTGTTAAGGATACTCAATGATAATTCTTTTTTGTCGTCGCAAATTATTCATTATATGAATTAACAAATATTAATAATCTTCATTCACTCTTTATTGATTGATAACTATAAATGATGAATGCAATTTCCATTCTTTCCACTTTTCGAATGCTCATTTTAACCATTTTGTTAAGGATACTCAATGATAATTCATTTGTGTCGTCGCAAATTATTCATTATATGAATTAATAAGTAATAATAATCGTCATTCACTCCTCATTGATTGATAACTATAAATGATGAATGCAAATTCCATTCTTTCCACTTTTCGAATGATCATTTTATCCATTTTGTCATGATTACTCAATGATAATTGATTAGTGTCGTCACAAATTATTCATTATATGAATGAATAAATTGCGAAATAGTCCTTCATGATGGATATAAATTTATTAAAGTGAGTTTAGGGCGATAAATCACATCAAAGTGCCAATGAAAAAAAAATTTCAAATGATTGTTTAATGAAAATGGGCCTGCGGTTGTTTTTCGTCAAAGTACCTCTCTCTTAGCTTTCTTGAGACGTCTCTCCAGCAGATCAATGTCGACATCCTCGACCTTAGTGCTTCCCTTTTTAAACATAAGAGCAACGTGTGGCTCCGGCACCAGCGGATGCTTATTTCGATTGGCAATGCCCACCAGATTATCGTAGTACGTGTAATTCACCGGTTTACCGCAGTCCAGGACAATGTCATCGCACTGCTGGCCAGTTGCGCAGACACTCTGTTCACCGGTGCCACCAGTCGACGATGATATGGTCTCAGTGATGTTCGAGGGCTCGGTCAATCCGTAGGACATCAAGCGTCTGCCAATTTTTAGGTGGAGAATATTTAAGGGGCTCTTTTAAGGCTGGAAAGCACAGCAAGCCACACACAAAACACTAACTACGGGCAAAAACAGAAAACTACGGTTAAATACGGTTTTTATCGCCTGGGAGTGGACATATTCGACTAATTAATTTTTTTTAATGAAGGGATGAATTTGAGATTGATTTTTATTTGGATGAATTCAATCAATTTCATGAACAAAACTTTCTAAATACGTACAAGATATTTAAAATTATCTAAATCTGCAGATGTCTAATTTTTTATTTACGAATATTGGAGTACCTTTCACAGTTCAATCCTCAATCACAAATTTAAAAAAAAACAATAAATAAACAATAAATTTTTCACAAGCAAAAAAAAATTTTTGCTTGTGAAAAATTTATTGTTCATCAGTTATTGCATAAGTCTTCAGGGAAAAGCAGGCGTTTAAATTCTCTTGTGATTCCCCAAACTTTTCCAAACGATTCAAAGTAGAGATTAAATTTAGAATCTTCAGAGTTTGAAAAATCAATTCATTGCAAAATTTCCTAGACAAAAAGTTGATAATATAATGTTATAATAAAAACTAATGAACAATGTGAACGTGAACATGAATTCAAACAGTTTCATGAAGATATCCGATAAATATTTATGGATATCGAAGTATTTTCTTCGAATTTATCAAACATTTCCTAACAATTCAAAATGGACAATCAAATTCGAGACCTTCAGAGTTTGAATATCAAATTCATTGCAAAAATTTCGTCAACTAGGGGATTAATGAAGCTTAAATACAGCTCTAATATTGAATTACAAGATTTCTGAACAAAAATTCCTGTTCAATTGTCGATAGCTCGACACTGAAATGAGGAAAAATAACTCGATATCAAACACCAGACGAGTAATATCAATAAACTAAAAATCTAGTAATCAACGTAATCCCCTAATGAAAAAAAAATCTCATCTCTAATAATATAAATGCAACAATCAGGACCGTGAACATCACTTCTAGAAGCGTGTGAAGTGCACTAAAAACTAATTCCCATAATAAAAAAAATAACAGAGGCATGCAGTCCCCTCCAAATAAAAACGAATAATATTAAACTCTAAACACGTGAAATACATACAGAACAGGCCATGCACACAGCTCACCGATCGGGATTTCCCGTGACAAAGCTATTGTACTCGTTGCAGTAGACCTGGAGTTTCTCCCTGTTCTCGGTGGCCGCTGTTTTGCTCCAGCCCTGCCCGTTGCTGGAACTGACAGTGGTGGCGAGGATGTCGAAGACGAGATCATCCTCGACGGAGGAGGCGAACTGTGTCGCCTTCACAACACCGTCTGCACTGAGCCTCCAGGAGGTGCGACTGTTTGACAGCCGCACCTGAAACACCAGGAGACATATCGCGTAACTCGCGATTCGCCTGTCGGCCCACATTCCCGGACTGCTGTATCTGGAGGAATTCGCGGACAACTCGAGTGATGAATTTTGACGTAACCTTAACACTAAAGGGCCCATTGACCAACAAAATAAATGGGGAGAGTGGGGCATGTGATGTGAAGTCAGGTGGTGATAGCGCGCATGCGTTTATTTGGATGGAGGAAAATACATTGTTTTTTCATCTGTTTTGCATTTATCATGGGACGCAAAGGCGTTGTTTTTTGTAGGCCTTCAGGGATAATTGGAGGAAATGATAAGGGGATGACGTCGGTGAATGTCTGGGTGTCGTCCCCAAGTAGCTCCGCAGCGAAATGTTGAAGCGATGTGAATCATTTTTTCAGAGACCTCAGGTTTTGGCGAATATCTTGAAATTGGAGGAAGATAGCGAAAATTTTGTCAAGATGTTTTTTGTAGAGCGGAAACAGAGCAACAAAAAAGGTGGTGAGGAAATTTTGTCTGTCTGCCTTAGATTCAGAGATATTCACCAAAAATGAAGCTTCGAATTCAATTAATTTATCTCGTTTCGTGCGCTCTTCTGACGGGAGAGGATTAATTAAATATAAATTAATTAATTCTCTATTATTATAGCATCCAAGAATCTGGAAGCCCTAGGAAAAATCCATGAATACGTAAAAAAACCGCAGAATTAGAAGAAAGCAAAATGTCTGACTCCAAAAATTGCAAAATTATCTCTTTAATGAGCAGAAAAATTTTTCTTTCTTCGAAAAACGGTTGACGTCTGAAAAAAAAATTAATTTTTCTTTTTCCTCATTTTTCTGTAATGTACGTTACACCCCAAAGAATAAAGTTAAGCATCAGTTTTACATAATTCGAGATACATCATGAATAAATGAAGTCTCCGGGAAGCGATGATAAAGATCAATACGCTTTGGGTTCAAAAAATATCGATAACTGAGCAGGAAATTTGCTTGAAAATGTCGAGGAAACGTTGGCCTTCTGCTACCCCTTAAGGAGAAACGGAACCCCTGCGTTAATATGAATCTTTAGAATTATCTTTTCTCCTGCAATTATTATTTTTTATCCATTAAACTACTTCGTTGACTAAACAATGCGATAATTGAGTCGATAAAGTAATTTCATAGATAGAAATTCATAATTGTAAGAGAAAACACAATTCTAAGATTTGATGTAGACAAAGGGGTTCCGTCTCCCCTTAAAAAACAAATGCACTTGCAACGAGATCTTTTGAATATTTTCTTCGTGTCCCTCCGTCATTCTTCGCCGGGGCTCGAGCCAGCCGAGCCCCCCACCCCGAAGATTCATGATCTCCCCCACTGCTGCCACTCTCCTTTCATCCCGCCACCAGGAGGACAGCAACACTTGACCCTGAACATCGCCCCGGCCACGAAGAGGGCCATCTAACGGAGTCCCAGGGCAATCGAGCCCATGAAACCGTCTTCCCCGCAGCTTCGTCGGCAGTTGATCGTGATAGTTTAGGAGTTTCCACTGAATTGCGGGTTACCTTTTATGGTAATCAAGTCAAAACGTTGAAAAAAAATAAAATAAAACATTGCGCTCCTGACGAGAGCTGTAATGCACCAGTGAAGTGGACCATCTCCCCGTGATAACGACTAAAAGTAAGGAATAGTGTCCAACAAGAGCATTAATAATGTACCTCCTCCCCGCCGGGTGCCAAACGAGAAAGTGATGTGGGATGATTTCGGGGTGTGCAAAGTCGTGAAATAAAAATAATGATGACGACATCTCGTCCCCCAGCGATTTATCACGATTATATCGAACTCCTCTGGTGCATCATTCAGCCCCGCGTCTGATTCATGTCAAGCATAATCGACTTTTTGCCATTGTCAACTTATCGAGCCATTAATGGACACGAGTTTTTTGTGTGATTGTTGAGAGACGAAAGTTGGAACGGTGTTGAGTAACACCGAGAGCGTCGGAAGGAAGCGTGGGTGAGCTGGTTTTCGACCGCACCTAAAGTGCACCTCACGTTTAACGTCGATTTAGAAAATTGATCGTGATAGGATTAGCCTCGGAGAGCTTTCTCCAAAATCGTTGGGGTGACTGTGTCACGGATCGGTGTTTTATCGCTGTTTTTCGGCATTTTTAGGGCACTATTTTGCTTGTTATGATCTGACATTTCGTTGCCTTTGTTTAGGGATTGAGGATCAAAACAATCATCTGTTTGGGGTAATTAATATTTTGTTATGTCATCAACATTAATGGGAGTTGTCATTCAGTTTATTAATTATTTGAAGGGCTCAAAACAATAATTCGTGGGGAGTAAATATTAATATCGACTATACCCACCCGAAGAATTAATTAATATTTACTCTCCACGAATTATCCAAGAATGATTATTAATTAATTCGTGGGGTGGATTTTTTAGTCACTAACGTGGAGTTTTTATTAATTTATTTATTAATTGTGTTTGTATTTTTTATCTTTTGACATTTCTCTTCATCATAATATAATGAAAGAAACCAAAATTTGTGATAGGATTATCTTTGTGGAGCTTTCTCAAAAATCGCAGGGGTAACTGTGTCACAGATCGGTGTTTTGCTTGTTATGATCTGACATTTCGTTGCCTTTGTTTAAGGATTGAGGATCAAAACAATCATCTGTTTGGGGTAATTAATATTTTGTTATGTCATCAACATTAATGGGAGTTGTCATTCAGTTTATTAATTATTTGAAGGGCTCAAAACAATAATTCGTGGGGGGTAAATATTAATATCGACTATACCCACCCGAAGAATTAATTAATATTTACTCTCCACGAATTATCCAAGAATGATTATTAATTAATTCGTGGGGTGGATTTTTTAGTCACTAACGTGGAGTTTTTATTAATTTATTTATTAATTGTGTTTGTATTTTTTATCTTTTGACATTTCTCTTCATCATAATATAATGAAAGAAACCAAAATTTGTGATAGGATTATCTTTGTGGAGCTTTCTCAAAAATCGCTGGGGTAACTGTGTCACAGATCGGTGTTTTGCTTGTTATGATCTGACATTTCATTGCCTTTGTTTAGGGATTGAGGATCAAAACAATCATCTGTTTGGGGTAATTAATACTTTGTTATGTTATCAACATTAATTGAAGTTGCCATTCAATTTATTAATTAATCCTTTTGTTTATTCATCGTAGAATGAATAAACAAAATTATTTGAGTGATTTAAAACAATAATTCGTAGGGAGTAAATATTAATATTTACTATACCCACCCCAATAGTTAATTAATTCTTGCGCTGGGATTTTTATTCATCAACGTCGATGACAGTTGTTATTAATTAATTAATTAATTCTGTTCTTCATTAATTAAGTTTTGACATTTCTGTTTCTCTCTTCATAATTAAATGAAACAAATTGAATAATTTCAAGGGATCAGAACAATAATTTTCAATTCCAACAGTTTATTTTGTTTTTTTTGCATTTCGCTTCTTCCATTTGTCACCAAATCAATGAAAAATCATTTTTTAAAAATAGTAAAACAGTAATTGTCCCTTATCAATTATAAATTATTGACAATGTCATTATTATGAATTTATGCGGAGTCAATAATAATTTTGTTTTATAAATCGTGCAACTGGGACTTTCATTTTCATTTGTTTATTCTCAGAAAGAAACTCAGAAGAATAAGGGAGAGAAATATCTCACGAGATAAGCGTTGAATTCTTCTCGATAAAACATCCGTGTGTTCACTGTATAAAATACCTAGTATCCGTGATGTGTAAGTAAAGTTGAATCAACGGGTGCCAAGAAAACTGAGTCAGTGACTTAATAATAGCGGCGGCTCCGGTGACTCCTGAATATCGTTTATACGCGGTGCGCGCCCCCAATTTTGATTGCAGCGAGACACAAACAATATTTTTAGATAATGAGGCCCTTCAATTAGTGTTATTGCTCCTCCCGAAGACGCGGGGATTAATCGTGTGGTTTTCAGGGATGATGGGCAGCTTATCGTTCACCCTGGCCATATCCCTGGTGATATGTGCCGCTGGGGTGACAGGGGATTACTCCAGCTCAGAGACGTCAGGATCAAATCCATGTTTTAGTAAATTAAAATGTCACGAGTGCATACGAACGTCCACTTGTGCTTGGTGTGCACAACCGGTAAGTAATTACTTACCTCTAAATAAATAACTCAATAATTAATGGAGGATTTCTCTCAGTAATCCAATTGTGTTTATTAAACATTTTTTTGAAATTCATGAATTCGTAAATTGGAATTCCATTGAAGATCCATTCGTTCATTAAATGTCTCATTCATCTGGAAAATGGAATAAAATGTCGGTTTTCGGGTTAATCGATCACTGGGGTTTCCATGACAGCTTGGATTTTCAATGGATTAAGAAAAAAAAGTCATTTGTTTTATTTCTCCGACTTCAACGATTGAATTTTTTATTCTTAAATGCCCTAGTAGCTGTTAGACATTTCTTGAAATTCATGTGACAACTGTATGTGAATTCTAAATGTGAATATTAATCCAATTCTAAATCAAAATGTTCATTAAATGAGAATGAAATGAAATTTCGATACAATTGAATTTTTTATGTTAACCATTCATTAACAGGTTGAATTGTCAGTAGATTGAGAGTAGTTGCTTGAACTTCTGCAATTTTTAATGATTTTTTATTTTCGTATGGACTTACAAATTAGAATTTAATTAATTAAAAATCACAATATTCACGAAATCCATTGATTCATCATTAACGATCAATGAAATATACAAATCTTCATGATCCTCTGCCAAAAAAACCACGAAAACCTCCCTATTTCCCTCCAATTTCCAGACATCCTCAAAAACCCGCTTTAAGAAAAAATGGCTTGTTTCATTTTCCCCCTGCGCTTCACGTCTGGATCCTCAATTCTTAATTAATTAAATAACCTTCCCTCCCCCAGAACTTCTCGGAGAACCGCTGTTTCCGGCCGAACCAAAACCCGAAGATCCTGGAAGCCTGCTCTGAAGAATTCACGATAAACCCCGACAACGTCTTCAGCATGATCCGCTACAAGAACCTCACAAAAGGAGGTTTCATAGCCGGTGGCTCTGGGGGTTCGATGAGTGGCGGCTCCATATCGGAATCCAGCTCCTCCTGGTCCTCCTCCTCTTCCTCCTCCTCCTCCTCCTCCTCATCCTCCTCCTCATCCTCCTCAAAGCAAGAAGCAGTTCAGCTCTGGCCTCAGGAAGTAAACCTGAAACTCAGAATAAACGAAGCCTACAGGATGACCTTCTCCTACTCGCAAGCAGAGGACTACCCAGTGGACCTCTACTACCTCATGGACCTCTCGAAGTCCATGGAGGACGACCAGAAGAAGCTGTCAGCGCTGGGTCAACTCCTCGTCTCCGAGATGAGTAAAATCACCAGCAACTTTCGTCTGGGCTTCGGCAGTTTCGTCGACAAAGTGGTGATGCCCTACGTCAACATCATGCCCAAGTCGTTGATCGCCCCCTGCAAGGACTGCGCAGCCCCCTACGGCTACAGGAACGTGATGACCCTGTCCACGGACACGAGCGCCTTCGCGAGTCTCGTGAGCAATGCAGAGGTCTCCGGAAATCTCGACGCCCCAGAGGGCGGCTTCGACGCGATAATGCAGGCGATCGTCTGCAGACGGGAGATCGGTTGGCGAGAAAAAGCGAGGAGACTGTTGGTATTCTCGACAGACGCTGGCTTCCACTATGCGGGAGATGGAAAGCTCGGGGGGATCATCAAGCCCAATGACGGTGAGTGGTTGGAATACAACGGAACAAAATTATCGGTAAATTCAGCAGAAAAAGTGACGAAAAACATTTGTAAATCTCCATCCAGACGAGGTATTTGATTTTTTAAAGCAGTCTTTTGTCGGAGGCAATGAATATTCAATTCATTTAAAGAGGACTATTTAAAACTTGTCGCTTTTTTTATTGATAAGTATTAATCCATCGTTGGGTTATTTAATAACTTCATTCGAGTACTATTTACATGAACTGGTTTTTCGGTTAACTTGTATTTAGTAGCTATGAACGTATTTTTGAATTCTCATAAAAACCTCTCGCTTAGTTAATAAAAAACATTTATGAAATTTTTGCTAACAATTTTTAATTTTTTAGGAAATGAAAAAATTTTAACAATCGTTCGTTTATGATTCAAAGTTCTTAGAATTCATGAGAAATGGTAAACTAACTCTACAATTTTCCAGTTCCAAATTAAGATGCGTTTTATCAGATTTGCATTCTTGCTTATTAGTTTATTGAATACTTTATGCCTCCATTTAACCTCACCCTCCCTCTTTGCTATCCTCTTACAACTATTATTACTGTCTATTTTATTGACTCCTTACGATGTCATTTTGTTAGACAAAACTTACACTAAATAAAATTCCGAAAATTGACTGACAGAAAAAAACCAAAAGAGTCTATCACCACAAATAACGATAGCCGATAATTCCCGACGATTCCTAAAACTGACGATAAATTTCCAAATCAAACTGCGCGTCAGTTCTGGAATATTCGAAAAATAATCCCTGACGATTCCTAAAACCGACGATGAATTTCCAAATCAAACTGCGCGTCAGTTCTGAAATATTCAAAAAACGGGAAGCGCTACCCCTGCCCTGACGCCCCTAAAAAGCACCGCTAATTTTCCCAGGTGAGTGTCACCTGGACAGGACAGGGCTGTACACCCACTCGTCCCTGCAGGACTACCCCAGCATCTCCCAGATAAACCTCAAAGTGAAGCAGAACGCCATAAACATAATCTGGGCAGTGACCGAAGAGCAGATAGGGATCTACAAGAGGCTGACCAAGCACGTTGAAGGCTCCTTCGCTGGAAAGCTGCTGAACGACTCCAGCAACATTGTCTCCCTGATCCGCGAGCAGTACGACAAGATCTCGAGTTCAGTGGAGATGAAGGACACTGCGAGCAGCATGATAAAAGTGCGTTACTACTCCAAGTGCCTGGGAGGGCCCGAGATAGAGACCTCAAAGTGCGATGGCCTGAAAGTGGGAAATGTCGTGCACTTCACTGCAGTCATAGAAGTGGTTGCCTGCCCTGCGAACAGAACCCAGTGGAAGCAGACATTTGAGATCTACCCAGTGGGCATCAACGAGACGTTGACAGTGAACCTGGAGATGATCTGCGACTGCGAGTGCGAGCATTCAGGGCCAATGTACCAGCCAAGATCGCCAGCTTGCAATGGAAGGGGTACCCTGGCCTGTGGGATCTGCGATTGCGACGATGGGGTCTTTGGAAATGCCTGTCAATGCTCTAAACACGATAATACCCCGCATTACGTCAACGAGACGAATGCCTGCAGGCCAGACGACTCCAAGCCCGATTGTTCAGGGAGAGGTGACTGCGAGTGTGGCCAGTGCATTTGCCACAGGCGAGGGGACTCAGGGGAGGTGTTCTCAGGTCGTTACTGCGAATGCGATAATTTCTCTTGCGAGAGGAACAAGGGAATTCTGTGTTCTGGTCATGGAAGGTGTGAGTGTGGTAATTGCGCTTGTGATCCTGGCTGGGAGGGGGACAGCTGCAGCTGCAAGACCTCCAAAGAGACGTGCATGGCACCCAATTCTGGAAAGTACTGCTCTGATCATGGGGACTGCATATGCGGGGAATGCAAGTGCCATCAGGAGGGGGACATCAGGTACTCTGGAAAGTACTGCAATAAATGCCCCTCCTGTGCCAGCCTCTGTGAGGAGCTGAGACCCTGTGTCCAGTGTGTCGTACATGAGACTGGAAACATGACCAAGGAGGAGTGCTACACTGTGTGCAATGTCACGAAGGGGTACAAGAATATTTATGGGGTCGAGACTGTTCAGATTGACATTGATAAGGACGAGGAGGCCTGCATGTTCATCGATGAACAGGACTGCAAGAATCATTTCAAGTATTATTATAATGAGGAGAACTGCCTGATCATCGAGGCGCAGAAGGAGAGGGAGTGCCCTCCCACGATTTTTGTGCCGGGAATTATTCTAGGGGTCATTGCTGCTATCGTTCTCATCGGGCTGGCCTTCTTGCTGCTTTGGAAAATGGTTACTACTATTCATGACAGGAGGGAGTTTGCCAAGTTTGAGAAGGAGAGGATGATGGCTAAGTGGGATACGGTGGGTAAACCTTTTATTTCATTCATGATTTTTACTTCTTGGTGGTAAAAAAAAATTATTGTTCGCTTATTGCAGGGTGAGAATCCAATCTATAAGCAAGCCACCTCGACATTCAAGAATCCAACCTACGCTGGCAAGTGAAGAGAGGGGAATTAATGTATTAAAAGAATGGAACATTGAAACAAAGAAAATAATTATTGGAATTGTCCAATTCGAGTGAAGAATGTTTAACTGTGTGAAGAGTCTCTTACACAACTGTTAGTCGTATTCTACGAGAAAACGAAAACAAAAATACTATTTAAACGTTACAATGATTAATCTAACTAACGTAATAACTAGGGATAAATGATGTTTTATTTTTACGTTAATTTACTGCCATATTACTTAGACTACACGTAAGTCTAGGGGATATGAGAAGAAGAAGAGAAGAAATTGTTGGTTTCTTCGTCAGGGCACGGAATCTTTGGTTCTCACTTAAATATTAGTTATTTAATATCTATTAATTATTAAGACATGTATTCGATTATTTTGTGCCGTGATTTTTCTTCTCGTTTTATTGAACATAAAGTGCCTTCAATGATACTAGGTAATTGTAAATCATATTGAGTGATTTTTTTTAGATGAATTATTGGGCACACGAATTGAATGCAATTGTCAATAGCCAGTGGGGGGATTACAACTGCATTTTTCCTTTCTTTTCGTATTATTCATCATCAGCAATGTATTTACGTACAAATTTGACTGATTAATCACGGATAACTGTGCAATCCAAATTATATCTTCCGAAATATTGTACACTAGAATTAACTATCATGCATCTTCCAAAATCATCGTCATTATTTAGAATTAATTCTATTTTTTAAACAAACAGACATCAAAGTATGCATTTTACATTTCAATTTTATACTTTACAAACTTTTAACTACTTGTCACGTGTTTTTTTTTTTTTACTGAATGAACAATTGATGAATCATTGCCAATATCTGTCAATTTACCCCGAGATTTGTAAAAGGAAATTCTGATTACCATATTTACAATCTGTAGATTCTAAATAAAAAAAACGAAGAGAATGCGATCGTGAATTCATTGCGAAATATAGCGCGTGAATTGTGACGAAACATCGTGTGAACCCATTCTGCGATCTGTTGCCACAAGTCTCGCTGAATTTGTTTTCTCAATTGAGATAACATGAAAAAATATATTTATATTAACAGAAAAATTATTTGCTTTATTTATATGATCCAAATAAATTGACTTTTTTTTCGAAATCGTTGGGAATTTATTTCAGCTCTGCACGAAGTTTTTTCACTCCCCCCCAAGGAGATAAAGGATTTAATTAACAACAGGTTTCATGCAAAAATACGTCAAACAGAAATTCAGATTTCAATTCTTTTATTGACATGGGAGATGTTACATGGACGTATGATGGAATGCACGTTATTAAAGATCGACAGTACCTCGTCAACTAAGTTCCAATAAAAAAAAGAAAAAAGTCGCCTTGGAACTCTAACAACGTAAACTATAATGATCACATACGAATGATCTCATGACATTTCTGATGTACTATCCCTCTCACTTCAATTATTTTCCAATACAAAACGCTACAATCGCTACTGCGACAGCTAATTGTTCCTCATTTCGGTAAAAAAACAACTGAAATTGTCACTCAGACTAATGAAAAATGGTGCAATTGTCCCCTGTGTTTCTCAGGAAAGGAACATAATATTCTTTCTTCCTTATTCTATCGGTGTACATATTTTTAAGATCGTCACAACCACTCGTATCAACATGAATTAGCAATTTGTCTCATCTAATCTTTCAATTCGAATAGTGTTGACACAAATGTTGATTCGAAATGCTCAATGATCCGAATACAACAGAGCACTTAAGCATTCAACCAATGACTCCTGACATAAATTGGCTATTCTCTATGGCTTGAAACCCAGAAAAATAATCCACCCCGATGAAATGAAAAATCTTGTCGATTTCAATCGCAATTAATGAGTGAAAATGAACAATGAATCGAACCTAGGCAATTTTCTCTACTATTTCATACAAAATATCAATTGAGTACCGTTTTACAATTGCTATTTTCACTGGTATAATACTCCAACACTATTTATCTCCTTATTCATCATAAAATGCAGACATGAATAGCATTTGAGTCATTCCATTGCAAAATTTCACTCTTCCACCCCAATAACAAATTATCAATGATTTCAATACTTTTATCTCATAAAATTATTGTTCTGAAGTTTGATTAACTGTTCGAAGAATGAATTTTTACAACGCAACACTCAAGGGAAGCCTTAAAATTATAGAAAATAAACGTCGTAAGTCACTAACGTCTCCAATTCAAATAAAAAATACTGGAAGTTTACGTGGAGAAGTAGCTGCTACTGATCAGCCACAGATCTAAATTGAGATTCAAGGTGGTTTGGGGATGAGAATTTTAATGGATAAACAGTTTTATTATTCTATACGTCTCGGTACGATAGAAAAATATACGAAATAACTCGCCGATTGTTTAATACCTCAATAACTTCTCAACTATTCCCGTCCAATTATCGTTTTTCCAAGCCCAGCCCATCGTTTTCAATTTTCTGTGCATCTCCTATACACAAAAATAAAAATAAAAATGAAAACACCGCAACTCAACGTAACTCTAAGTGTCTTTTGGTGCGAATCAATGATAGATACATATAATGCAATAATTCTAATATAATAGCTGCTCTTGTGTTGTCACTTTCTCTCGAAAATCTAACACTAACTCATATAATATATTCTATATATATTCAATGATTCAATATATTAAATAGTCCTTTATCAGTAATTAATCTAGTCTAATAATGGCGTGCCAAAGAAAATTGTTATCAAAAGTAAATATAAATAATCGACGTAAGCGTGTTCTCACAGAAAAAGCAACATTCAGCGACACTCAGTTAACGAATGAATATTAATTTGCCTGTTGCTTTTCTCTCTCTCTCTCTCTCTCTCTCTCTCTCTCTCTCTCTCTCTCTCTCTCTCTCTCTCTTCTCTTTCAATATGAAAAGTCTTGCTCATTACTTTTATCGTGATAATTTTATGAAAAATTATGACGTCAAGAATTGGGGATCGAACCAGCGATGTGTGTTTTTACCTCAATTTTACTGCAATAATTTAATGATTAATTTTTGAATTTATGGAACACATCATCGCTGTTGTCCTCGTAAAGTTGAAAATTTATATTCATTATCATAAATTCAATATTAATAGCAGTCAATAAAATCTTTAGTATATTAAATTTTTTTCATATTTATCTCGAGCACTTCAATAATGCTGACATTACTGATCATTTCGCTACACCAAATATTTGAACATAATAGAGGAAATAATTTAATTTCAGTCAAGGAGCCAAGCCAACTCATTTCTTTCAACTTTCATATTTAATAGGAAAAACGTAACGCGTGTTACCCTGTTTAAGCTAATTAATCTAGGCCGAATAATGATAAAAAACGGTTGAAATAATTAATGTACAATCAGCCAGGCTGAATGATTCAACTCAATCGGATGTTTTTTTATTCCGATTGGGATGGATGATTCATCTGGATGATGTTTATAATTTTAAGGCTTCGAAAAAAGCATCTGGTGATGCGATAATATTTTCTAACACGATTTTAGCTCTCACAAATTCCCTTTGTAAATAGCCCGCTAAGAAAAAACATCTAATGCCTTTGGGTTTTATAATTAACGAGAGGCAAAAATTCTTGAGAATAAATGGCGGATGGAATTCTCTTCTTGAATTGTTAATGAAAAATAAACAGTCAATAAACTGTTGTTTTTCGTTAGACAAAATACTCGTTGAGTCGTTGATGAACGATATGTCGTGAGAATTTAAGATTCCAGTTGAATGAAATTTACGAGTCTTGTGAGTTCAACATTGTAAAATCGTAAGATTTTGAATTTTAATTCAGTCAATTTTTCTATGGCTCAGATGATGTATAAAACCCAAAACCCAAAAAATTCTAATTGGCAGTAAGAAGTGGACATTGCGCCCGGCGCAAGGTATATTATTTTTTTAAATTAGCTGCATTATCGGCAGGCAAGAGTGTCAATTCAACACACTGGGTTTTTAGTCTCATTAGACGTACGTGGCCATTGAGCCGGCCTGAAGGGATGGAGTTCCATCGGGTCGATTCTTCGGTCCGTACTGCCCGATAAATGATCCGTCTTCGGTGAAACGTCCTGTGGAATTCGTCATTCAATATTAGAATTTTTCCTGGTGCTTCAAAAAGTTAATGCGCTATTTTATCCGATCCTTGTCAATCCATTTGAATTGATTCAATGCTTTATGAGGAGCATCAGTTAGATATTCAAGAGTATTTTTCAATGAAGAAACAGTAGTTACAAAAAAATTGAGATAATGATTCCATCATCGATTTATTCAATAATTATTCAATAAATTGATTTTGCAATTTTTTAAAATGTGCAATTATTTTGTTGATGAGTCATCTTGGGGTTCAGATATTTTTTGTAAGAATATTTCGCGAGATACAGAATAGATCATTTAAATATTTTCTTCTCAATTTCATTTTCAGATTTAAATTTCATGACGTGATCTCTCCCCATTACATTTTTGAATTCTGATATTGTTTTTTATTTATTTTGGATTTGAGTGGATCTAGGAGAAAAGGCAGACAGAAATTTATTCTAGAAAATTCTCTCAACCCCAATTGCTCAAATCCCTAAAATGTACGAATCCACATGTTACGATGATCCCCTCAAAAGCTGAATCAATTACCTTATCACATACCTCAAACCAACGTAGCAAATGCCTGAGAATTGGGCTCCGGCTTCTTCTGCCTCCCGTACTGACCAATGAACGATCCATCTTCGTTCATGCCCTCTGTTACATCACAACGTAACGAAAAAAAAATCCAAAAAACATGAACAAAAAACGATAATGGATGAATAAAAGATGAGATGATACCGACAAAAGTATAATTCACACAATAATCCTGATGTCATAGCGAAACGAGCAATAACCGGGGATGAGCATGAGTGTAAATCAAATATACAAGGGTGAGATGTAATCTATAATATGAGATCTAGAGTGTAAGGGGCTTCTGCACTATTAAAAAAACTCTACCCCAAAAAGCTTAAATTCGAGATTATATTTCATGGAGACTCACCAGTGTCACCCTCTCCGTACTCCGCCATGGAGTCAGTGTCCGACTCCGGATGTTTTCCATCCTGATGAGACGATGACGCCACAGAGGCACGACCCCCTGCCGATTTAGTGTCCAGGGGCTGCGAATATTCATGGAATCCACCCTCGTCTGGATAGTCACCCCTTCCAGCCGCAAGTTCACGCTCGTGCACGGCATATTTGCCTCCACGATTGCGTTTTATCACGCATACAATAATCAGCACCATTAGGAGGAATGCTATGGCCAGCATCATGCCTTAAAAGTCGAGTTTATTGATTAAAACATCAGGGAAAAGAGCATTACAGACAATCTATTCTCAAGGAGTTGAATATTCTTTCTCATTTCCTCGAATTAAATTCTACCTCAAAATAAATGACTTTTCATTTAATAGAAAAGAGCACTGCAGACAATCTATTCTCTGGAAAATGAAAATTCTTTCTCGTTTCCTCAAATTAAATTTTACCTCAAGGTAAATGATTGTTTAATTAATAGAAAAAAGCACTGCAGACAATCTATTCTCTGGAAAATGAAAATTCTTTCTCGTTTCCTCAAATTAAATTTTACCTCAAGGTAAATGATTGTTTAATTAATAGAAAAAAGCACTGCAGACAATCTATTCTCTGGAAAATGAAAATTCTTTCTCGTTTCCTCAAATTAAATTTTACCTCAAGGTAACTGATTTTTTATTTAATAGAAAAAAGCACTGCAGACAATCTATTCTCAAGGAGTTGAATATTCTTTCTCATTTCTTCAAATTACATTTTACCTCAAAGTAAATGATTTTTGATTCAATCGAAAAGAGCATTACAGACAATTTATTCTCAAGAAATAGACTATTCTTTCTCATTTCCTCGAATTAAATTCTACCTCAAAGTAACTGATTTTTTATTTAATAGAAAAAAGCACTGCAGACAATCTATTCTCAAGGAGTTGAATATTCTTTCTCATTTCTTCAAATTACATTTTACCTCAAAGTAAATGATTTTTGATTCAATCGAAAAGAGCATTACAGACAATTTATTCTCAAGAAATAGACTATTCTTTCTCATTTCCTCGAATTAAATTCTACCTCAAAGTAACTGATTTTTTATTTAATAGAAAAAAGCACTGCAGACAATCTATTCTCAAGGAGTTGAATATTCTTTCTCATTTCTTCAAATTACATTTTACCTCAAAGTAAATGATTTTTGATTCAATCGAAAAGAGCATTACAGACAATTTATTCTCAAGAAATAGACTATTCTTTCACATTTCCTCGAATTAAATTCTACCTCAAAGTAACTGATTTTTCATTTAATAGAAAAGAGCACTGCAGACAATCTATTCTCTGGAAAATGAATATTCTTTTTCACTTCCTCAACTTAAATTCTACTTCAAAGTAAATAATTAGCAGTTCATTAGAAGCCCATTAGTGCCCATTAGTGATCCTACACTACCCGTTTTTATTTTACCCCATCCAATGTAAACAATTGTGGAAAACTGGTAGAAAAAAAAACGCCTAAACTTGTGCCCACGAAATCCGAAAGATAAATTCCCCCTGATAACATTATACCTCCTGAACTCACCAATAAACCACCCTGCGGTGGCGACATTCTCCTTAGGCTGAATGATAGGCCCCTCGCTGCTGGTCTCGACCAGCTGCCACTTGCTGGGTGTCATATACTTCCCATCGACCGCAACGACATTCACCTCGTAGGTCTCCCCGCTCTGGAGCCCCCTGATCTCAATCTCATTGCTGAGATACTCGGGTTCAGTGCGATCCTCAACCGCCTGATTCGGTAGTTTGTAGTTGACGAAGAAGCTGCTGCCCGGGTATCCCCCCCTGTCCGGGAGCCAAATGATCTTGACATTAGCCAGGCCATTCTCCTTGGGAATGGTCTCCCACCTGAAGATGGGAACATCAGGCTTCATGGACTCCCTCGTGCTCTCCTCGACATAAAAATCGACTCCCTCCCCAGCACCGGTGGTGGCCCTCACGTGCACCCTGTACTTGGTCTCCTGCCTGAGTCCAGCGATCTTCGCAGAGTCGGCGTCAGGATGGACGACCCTGGGTTCCCGTTCGACGAGAGGTCCGACCTCAGTCCCATTAACGATTTCGTAATAAATTCTGTAGCCCGTGAGTCTCCCATTGGGCTCAGCAGGCTTGGTCCACCTCAGTAACATCGCACTGGAGCCCATGGGATAGGCATCAAGACTGAGAACAGTCCCAGGAACACCCTCAGGAGTGTCAAAGCTCAAGGTCTCTGAAGGAGGGCCATTGAACCTCCCATTGAACACGAACATCCTCACGTAGTTCTTGCTGAAAGGAACGAACTTGTCGATGGCAGCTCGCGTGGTGGCAGCCCCCTCCAGAGTGATCTCCCTCATGCCATCCTCGCCGTCCCTCTCCGTCCACGTCTGCACCTTGTACCCCTTGAGCTCGCCCCTAACGGACTCCAGAGGCACTCGCGACCAGGACAAAACAGCAGTCGTGCTCGACCTCACCTCCTCAACAGTGAAGTTCCCAGGGGCCGTGGTCGGTTGATCCTCCCCAGAGTACCCAATAACGATCTCAGGAGCCACCCTGGACTCCCCGATCTCATTCTGCGCCACCACCTTGATCTGATACCTCTGATAAGTCGGCTGATTGTCTACCTCCAGCCTGTTGGTCCTCCAGTTGTTGATCTCAACCTTCGTCCACTCCTGGCCAGGAATGTCCCGCCTGTAGTACACCTTGTACACGAACTTGGGGGCGTGATGCTCAATCTGAGGCATCACAGTCCAGCTGATAACGAGGTTCTGCGGAGTTGTTCCATTCCCCATGACGTTTGAGGGATTCTTGTGAGGGATGTCAGGCTGAGTCCTGCAGACTGTCGAGGGTACTGAGGGGGCTGAGGCGCCTATCTTGTTCCAGGCGATGAGCCTGAAGGTGTAGTTGGCCCAGGGGGACATGTCGATCCTCGCGGTGCGCTCGTTAGCTGGAATGTCGTCGCGAACGGTCTCCCAGAGGTCCGGAGTGAACGAAGTGTTGTACTGAACTTGATAGCGTAGTATCGGTGCTCGGTTGTCCCTCCTCGGTGTCCAGGTGACCCTCGCCTGGTGCTCGTAGCACTCAGTGCTCGACAGAAGAGGGGCGTCAGGGACGTCCTGCACTACCAGAGTGGCCTCCGCCTTCTGCTCGTCGAGCTCGGTGCTCGCCAGACAGGAGTAAACCCCCGAGTCCGATTCAACGGTCTTCGTGATCGACAGAGAGAAGTCGCTGGTGACGACGAACCTGGGCTCGGTCTCGGTGTCAATCACCTCGTCATTCCTCAGCCAGTCGATCTGGAGAGTCAGGCTCGAGTCGGCTACCGCGTTACACCTGAAGGTGGCCGTCTCCCCAGCCGCGACTTCGTAGTTCTCAGGTTTCTTCGTTATCCTCGTGTGCTCCTTCACCACTAGATTCGCCGACGCGTCCATCTGCCCGAATTTATTCTCCGCGTGACAGGTGTAGGTCCCCGCATCCCCGAACTCGAGGTTCGATATCTCCAGGTCACCAGCGCTCAGGACCTTGTACCGCGCCCCCCTGACTTCCTCTCCACCCTTCAGCCACTTGATCGTGGGCTTCGGCGCTCCGAAGACGCGACACGTCATCTTGACGGTGGTGCCGTCCACTGTGGCTTCGTTCATCGGTGGCTGGGTGATCTCAGGCTCAAGAGCGAGAACGTTCACGTAGACGTCTTTGTAGACGTACCCCAAGGAGTTTGTGGCGTTGCAGCCGTAGTTCCCAGTGTCCTTCTTGGTCAGTCCCTCGATGATGATTCTCGTGCCGGCGACCCTGCGACGGGGATTCGTCGGCGCCTCCGCGATCGGTCGGCCGTTGTGGATCCACTCGATCTTGGGGTGGGGGACTCCCGAGGCCTCACACCTGAACTCAACGCTCTCGTCCTCCGCCGCCGTCTGGATCTCCGGCTCCACCGTGAAGTAGGGTGCAGCCATGACTTTCAAGTCTATCGAGTGAGTGCCGGACTTGCCCACGCCGTTGGACGCCTCGCAGGTGTACGAGCCCTCGTCGTCGAAATTCACGTGTTTAATTACCAGGGATTTGCCGTAGTTGGCGTGGTTAATGCGATCATTTGGCTTTATTCGAACGCCATTCTTCATCCAAATGGTTTCAGGAAGGGGAGTCCCACCGAAGATGCAGAAGAGCTCGACCTTCTTTCCCCTGAGGGCCACTTCGCGCGGCTTCGAGAGGTACTGAACCTCCGGCGGGTGCTTGTTCTGGGATGCCGAGGCACCTGTCGAGATCACATTGAGGAGAAATCGATTCCCCAGTTTGTATTCTTTTCGGTGGACTGAAGTGGCTGCACACGCGTAATAAAAATCGTCGGAGGCGTCGTCTCGAGTGACGTTTGAGAACCAGAGGTTGCCCTCCGGGTCGAGGGTCATGCGGGAGTTGTTGATGGATTTTATTATGCCCGCGGTGTCCTGGATGAGCCAGTAGACGTTCGGCTTCGGCCAACCCTCCGGCGGCTGACAGGTTAGCTTGAAGGGCGAGCCCTCCTGCGCTGTCAGGGTCATTGGGTCCTCGTCCTTGAAGGAGTTTAGCTCCGCCTTCCGGACGAAGACCGAGTTTGAGGTCGCTATGCCCCATTGGTTCTCCGCGAAACATTGGTACTGACCGAGGTCCTCGTCGCGCGGACGCGATATCACGAGGGTACCTCGACCCGGCTGCTGGATTATTCGATCCGCGTGCGATTGAATCTCGAATTTCTTACCGTTTTTTATCCAGCGGTAGCTGTGGGCCAACAGGGCGACGTGGTGAGATACTGATTGGTCATGATTTTTGGGGGATGAAGGGGGACGCGGATTGCAAGAGAGTAAATTTTTCATTTTTCGATGAATTTCGAATTGTCGTGAGAATGGGTGGGTTTGAGGAAAAATTGAGGGGTTTTTTCGAGGAATTTTGTTGATATTCTCGACATATTAATCATTGTGAATTGTCCTGGAGACAATTCAAGATTTTTTTAAATGACACGACTTTTTTGCTAAAAATTTCAAGACTTAGGGGAGCATGGGGCAAAATGAAACACGGGGCAAAATGAAACAGTGGGAAAATCTCGTCATCTAAAGGAGATAGGACATTTTTGAAGAGGACCTTTTTTGTAGTTTGTAAAATTCTCTACAAAAAAGGTTTCCATGAAAATCGTTCTATCTCCCTTAGATCACAAGATTTTCTTGCTGTTTCATTTTGCCCCACCGTCCCCTAGAAAAAATATCTTTTGATATTTCCCCCTGGAATCACATGATTAAAAAAAAGGAATGTATCTCAGGGATAAACAGGGCGAAGTGGTGAGATACTGATTGCTCATGTTTTTTGTCGAATGAAGGGAAAAGCGGATTGCAAGAGAGTAAATTTTTCATTTTTCGATGAATTTCGAATTGTCTTGAGAATGGGTGGGTTTTAGGAAAATATTGAGGACTTTTTTCAGGGAAATTTTTTCATATTCTCGACATATTAATCATTGTGAATTGCCCTGGAGACAATTCAAGATTTTTTTTAATGACAAGACTTTTTTGCTGGAAATTTCAAGATTTAGATAAAATATCTGTTGATATTTTCTCCTAGAATCGCATGATTAAAAAAAGTCAAATGTACCTCAAGGCAAAACAATATAAAGCAGTTCCCCTTGAGTGAGGCCCAAGCATTTTTTTTCATTTCGAAATGATTTTTTCAAGCTTCAAAAGAGAACCAATTTAATTCTATTCGGCCAATTCGTTCCGCAATCAATAATTTAAGAGTCCTGAGGATTAGAAAACACTCGGGCGTGTCAATTTTACATGAAAATTCCCGATTTGATGAAAAAAATCGGTGGAAATCGTAAATCTCCGTTCAATCATGTCATTAAAATTGATAGAAATCAGGAAAAATCAGGGTAAATTAGTCCTGAATATTCGCTTCTTCACTGAAAAATCAAATAAATAATAATTCTCGTCTCCCTGTTACTCAAAAATTCCCAATTCCATAAAAATATCACTGAATTTGGAAATTTAATCATCCTCTCGCGGCCCATTTAATTGCATTCGGTTAATTCGTTCCGCAATTAAAAACAAGTCTCGAGTATTTGAAAACGCTCGGGCGTGGTAATTTCATATGCCCCCCAAGGGGGAGTCAGAGAGGAGAGGGGCTCTATATGAGGTCATCCAACTGATTAATTCCAGTTGTGTCTTACTGCACATCTCCAGCCAACTCTAACGTTCATTCTGATGGCTCAACTGCATTAACAATCCTCAGTACGATTCAAATTATGACTGATGATGACGAAATAAAGGAAATGGACTTACGTTGGGGCTGGCTCGCCTTCCGCCTCGCACTCAATTAGAAAAGGTTTGTCGTTCTCGTTGAGATTAGCCTGGGCCACTTGAAAGAGCAGCTCGTCTGTCGGTGGTTGTTTCGATATCTTTGGTGGGGATTGAACTAAAATTGAGAGTTCATTGTGATTTTTGTTCTCGAGATTGACGGGATTTCTACATCAAACAGTTAATTCGATGAACTATCTATAGAGATTACACTCAAGGGAAAGATAATGACAGTAATGAGACATTAATTAAAGTCAGACAGTACCACACTTGTTAAGAAGATCAAATATAGAGATCAACATCTCTGAAAAAATTTAATAGAAAATCCAGAATTTTCTCCAAGAAATTCTATTAAATTCCTCGTGAAAACTTCTATTTTTTTGCGCCAATTCTATTAAAAATTGTACAACTCCTCCACGAGTTTTAAATAGATACTTGTTTGTAGAAAAACTTTCTCAATATTGATTGTTATATATAACTCAGTCTGCTGGAATTTTTCTCTCGGATTTTATGACGAAAAAAAATAAACAGCGAAGAAAATTTAGAAAATTTGATTCTTTCTATCAATAAATATTTCTTAGCAAAATGTGAAAGAATTCTTACTGTTCCAACGGAAATTCACTTGAATTTCTTGAGCAGGACGCTAGATTTTTCTATTGAATGTTTTCATAAGTAAGCGATGAGATTCAAACGATTATATGATCGAAAAATGAAACAACTGTTTAATGATTATCGGTTGGACACTGAATGAGCCAGGTTGATGATTCATAGCAACACTAGATGAATCTAATGAATTTAGATTAATTGATGACACGAAAAAAGCCAAAAATTGTTATTAAAATCTACGTGTCTGTCATCGATAGTCTCATCACCTTGGAAATAACCCGGAAATGGAACTATAAAACCCAGAAAAAAACAAAATTGGCATTAAAATATGTACCACAGGCGCATATTGTTAATGTAATTTCACCATTCACCCAATAGTCAATTATCAACTAAAAAAATATCAACTGGATCCCGTTCTCACTCGTGTTTCTTCTCACGACCATTTAAACTACATAAATTAATTTCAAGTTTATCCACTCACTTGAGGCCGACGCATATAGCGCCGATGCCACAACAATAAATAATGAACACCTCATGGTCACGGTCTCTCGGAGTTTTGCTCTGCAACAACAGAATCATAAATAATCCTTTACTTTGTTGAGTGTAAACGATTCACGTGTGAATATCACTGGGCACATTCAATCGCCCTTTCGCTCCGCTCGAGACCTTCTCGGCTCTTTAAACTCCCACCCACCCGCGTCCTTCGATTAAACATTTCTTCACATTTCCGGTTTCTTCAAACGTCGGGACAGATGATTGTTTTGGCCCGGCGGTTGCCACTGGAGACGACTCCAGAGGCTATTAAATATGCAGCGCCGAAATTTTGTGACTGAAATTTCCGGTGCATTTACTGGAAATTTAGCGAGCGACAGGTACATTCGAATTTCGAGGGATTTCTTCGTTGAAAGTTTACGATTTGATGGAAAAATAAAGGGAAATTGTTGATTTCAGATCAATAATTCTGGGAAAATTAATAGAAAATATGGAAATTCAGGGCAATTTCGTGCAGAATATTTAAATCTTCATGAAAAATTTGGAATTGCATTGAATTTTCGGGGCAAAACAGTGGGAGACAAATCACAAATTTTTTGTGGAGATCTTCAGGGATTTTTTTGCTCCGCAAAACAGGTTCTCATGAAAATTTCTGCATCTACTTTAGACTCAGAGATCAGCAAAACAAGATGAGTCAGATGTGCTCAGTTTCTGTTAAATATTACAGAAATGGACTTAATGGAGACGTCTGCGGAAACTTTTGTAGCTCTATTTCCGGTTCATAAAAAAGTTTCTCCGATTTTTTCGTTCTCACTAGACTCAAAGGTCTAAAAGAAAACTTATTATTTCTAAAATGAAAAACTCTTTTATAAACTTGTGAAATATTCTATTCGCTATCTCTCCTCGATTCTGGGATTTCATTTGTCGCTCTCTGCACTCTGGGATTCTTTTTCTGCTGATATGAATAAATTCTGCTGCGACTCTACTTCTTAATCATCACCTTAAATTGGAGGGAAAGGCAGAGATGCCAGCAAAGAGATTTTTTGCCGTTTCCGCTCTCCCGAAGGCACTGGAAAAATTCGGCATCTGCCTTTCCCTCAGAGAACCCCCCAAAAATTCACCCTCCACTGAATTCCTCTGTTCTCCCCTCCTCCCAGAATCCCAAAAATTCCCGGGGACTGAAAAATCTCTCACAGCTCCACAGATCCTCCCCATCATCCAATAAACCCACGATAAAATCCATAATATCCTCATTGCACTGGATTCAAAGGTATTGATCAAAAACTTTCGTAAATTTCTGAAACTTTCGTAAATTCAGCTCCGACTCTACTTCTTAATCATCGCCTTAGAAATCCAGAGATGCTAGCAAATAATTTTTTCCCCCGCTGCCGCTCTCCCCAAGGCGCCGCAAAAAAATCCTGTGCCTCCTTAGCCCCGGAGAACCCCCCAACACCCTCCCAGAGTTCCCAAAAATTCCCGGCGACTGAAAACTCTCTCACAGCTCCACAGATCCTCCCCATCATCCAATAAACCCACGATAAAATCCATCATATCCTCATTGCACTAGATTCAAAGGTATTGATCAAAAACTTTCGTAAATTTCAGAAGCGAGACAAAGTCCCCGAAGTCTCAGCTCTTTTTTCGCGGATATGAATAAATTCAGCTCCGACTCTACTTCTTAATCATCGCCTTAGAAATCCAGAGATGCTAGCAAATAATTTTTTCCCCCGCTGCCGCTCTCCCCAAGGCGCCGCAAAAAAATCCTGTGCCTCCTTAGCCCCGGAGAACCCCCCAACACCCTCCCAGAGTTCCCAAAAATTCCCGGCGACTGAAAACTCTCTCACAGCTCCACAGATCCTCCCCATGATCCAATAAATCCCACGATAAAATCCACGATATCCTCATTGCCAATTACCCGTGCATATCCCCGAGGATTGTGTAATTGACGCTCGCACGCGCACTGCGAAACAGGTAGCCCCTGGATGATATCACCGGGCCCGCTAGCCTGGGAAATATGACAACACCATCCAAAAATAGCGATAGCCCCCCGTGCGCCCCCCGGCCCGGACTAATACCCCATCAGCCACCCGAAGCCCCCAATAACAATTAAAGAAGCCAACTAAAACAACAAATGCGAGGGCATTGATTCGGGCTTGGCGAATAGAACGGGCACACCCGAAGGGGAAGCATTGATCGCCCCCAACACTTGTCACATATTCACCGCAAAAATGATAAATGAACGCCAAAAAGCCACTGATAACCCCAGACAACTCACCGTTTCGTTGCTAATTAATATCCTCTAAAAAAAAAGTGAATGCACTCGAGTGTCAGTTTATCACCAAGGCATTTCTCAAAAAACCACTGTCTCGCCATTCAATACCGTACGGTATCCCGTACTACATCTACATGCACAGCGCTATGCGTGAGCCAACGCCATGCAGGCGCCTTTTACGATCCCCCCACCGCGAAAAACCGAGGCCCACCATTGGTGGAGACCAGCGAGCGTCACGATTCCCATTCAAAAGGCCACAGTAGTCAGCCCGATACTGTTTCGACCGGTGGTCCTTTATTGAAACACCCCGATGTGATTTATCACCCCGATTTTACTTTTTTTTTCATCAAACGACTCGTGAAATCGAGCGATTTCAACGGAATTTCTCGGCTTTTTGGGGAAAATGATTTAGTAGTGGGGAAAATTGTTTGGGTTTTTTCGAGGGGAAATTCGATGGCTGAGTCGAGTGTTTGAATAGGGGACGACCCGCCGAGAGAGGAATTTGGCAGATGTTTTGGGAAATTGTAAAGAATTTGGGACGCTTGGGTTTAGGGGTCGGGGGATGCAGCGGCTTTCTCGAGGGGTTTTTTGAGACGGCCCCAGCCGACGTCAATAGAGAACTTGCATGAATTTTTTTCAAGTTTCTAATCTCAAGTTTGGGACTCGCATAATTCATTTTTCATTCACAAATGAAGTATTGCTCATTAAATCAGTAACGAAGTGGTCAAACGGTTTAAGTCGATTTTGACTACTCATGGGTTTTCAATGAATATCTCGCAATCTAAGGCAGATAGCAAAATTTTTGTTATGACCTTTTCGGTAGAGCACATTAAGAGCTTCAAGAAAGATATGTACGAAAATTTCGCTATATCCCTTAGATTTTGAGATATTCCTGGAAAACTCAGCTAAGAGCCAAGTCGACTTGAACCGTTTCATCAATTCGCTACTGAATTGATAATTAGTCGTTAAAAGTTGAGGATTTCAAGCGTTTTGAAATAGCTAGTGACGTCACATGGTCGGTCGAGCGCTGGACCAATCACAGAATGGCTCGAGCGGACCTAACCCAACCTCGAGGTGCGCCTCGGCCAATGGAGGACGACAACGCCCCACTCTCTTCTTTTTCGACCAATGAAGCGTTACCTGACTGTCTTCGTGACGTCATGGCCGAAAAATTGGCCTCGAAAACGACTGATTTAGAATTAATTATCACGAGACATCTAGGCTATATTTCTCCATAATTTTCGACGTTTAGCTGTCCATATATTCCGAGGAATGTGTGAATAAGGGAATTAGAAAGAATTGAGCTTCGTGCAAGTGCCCGATTGCGCGGTGATTTTCTGCGGGAGTTTTATTTGTTGTCGTCGGGGGGTACCTCCGGAGTTGGCGAACTTCCGGGGTGAAGGATGAGTCATTCGGTGGGAAATGGGAGTGGTAATGAGGCGGGTGAATGACTTGCGAATCTGGTAATGATTTTTCGGCAGCGGGTGGTGATTAGAGAGGTTCAGGGTTTAGTTTCTTTGAAGGATTCTTAAATTTAAGGGGCGGATTTTCGTATTTGCTGGGCAATTTTGAAATTGACGCGAATGCAAAATTCATCATTTCTTCTTTCTCGTGAGGGCAACATGGAGACTACATGTTTTTTATGTTAAAACGTTAAAAAAATGTTAAAACGTTATTTAATTATTGATGAAGCGGAATAATTTTTTTTCCTGAGGAGAACACTCCTTTCTCCTTCTCCCTAGATTTTTTTTTCAACTGTTCATAACTCAGAAACAAATTTATCAATTGAGCTCAGTTTAGACTCATCAGAAATCGAAAGAGTTGTTCTTTACATTGAAAAAAGTCGCACGTGTCCATTTTACCCCCCCCCCCC